CCCCCCCCCGCCCCCACTCACCCATCCTCCTGCCCACTTGCCCCTGGCGTGCAGACTACCGCACATCCCGCTACCTGGCCCATGGGGCCGTCGACACGGCATGCTACGCCTTCCTGCGTTATGATGATCCCACCTCCCTCCGCCTGGCCTTGTATCCGCTCGTGCGGCTGGCTGCCTCCTCCTGTGCGCTCCCTCCGCGGCCCGGGTCCCCGGCTTGCTGTCCTTCTTTTCCTCCTCCCCCACCCCCATCCCTGCACCCCCGCCGCGGCGCCCATGCTAACCCGGCACTTGCCTTCCCCTCGGGCCCTGTCCCCCACCCTCCGAATGGCGCCATAACCGGCAGTTGCCCTCCGCGGCTACTTCCTTCGCACCGCGGTCGTCGACAAGGCCTGCGCCATCATCGACAGGTCTGGCTCCTCCTTCTCGCCGATCTGCCTCCGCTGCCTCGACTTTGTCCTTCTTTTGTCGATCGAAGGTTCGCACACACACACACACACACACACACACTCCGCCCCCCCCCCTCTGGTGGAGACATGGCCTCGACACCGGGAGAAGGACCGCACGCACACAACCCCACCCGCAGCCACTGACGCGCGCATGCATGCCGATGCCGGACGTTCCTTGCTCGCGCGCCAGACTCTCTCAGGGCCTACCGGACCCCCATCCTGCGGACGTTCATCCGGCTGCTAGAGCGCGCCCCGCGCTTCCAAAAGCTCGTCTCCGTCATCGGCGCCATGGATACCATCCTCACCAATGCCTCGCTCGATCCCGGTTCGTCGCCTCGGCCGCTGCATTTGCCCTTCCTCCTCTTCCTCGCCCTTCGAGACCAGCAGCATGTGCGCCGCTCACCTCCCCCCCCCCCCTCCGTCCCAAATAGTCGACAGCAAGCCCTACATCAAGCCCCTGCTCAGCAGGATCATCCGCATCATCGGCAACCTCAAGCCGCTTCTGTGTGCGCAGCCGCCACCTCCCCCCGGCCCCCTCATCCTCTCTGCCCCCTGCGCATCGGCCTTTCTCTGACCCGCACGACCATCCGCTCCCCCCCCCAGTCCGCCCCAATTCCCCCTTCAACAAGGACGCCTACAATTCGGTGATCAGCTGCCTGAACCTGGCCGTCAAAATCGGCTACGACCCGGGCGACGAAGTGCACGACCTCTTCGACCTGACCATTCTCCTGCCACCCTACGACTACTTCAGCGAGGAGACCTTCCTGCTCTTCCTCGAGGCAGTCGAGCGCCTGGCCCCGCTTGCCGGTACGCCGCCATCCGCCGGCAGACCACCCCTCCCGATCCCAAGCCCCGCCCCTCTTGCCCCGCTCACACCGATGCCTGCCCCATCCCCAGCGGAGCCTGTTTACCGGAACTACTTCGAGAAGACCCTCAACCACATTCACATTCTCTTCACCTCCCTGGTCTCCTCCATAACCCCCTTCACCCGGCGCATGCTCTCCCTCTTCACGACGGTCCTGCCCCTCATACGCACGCACTTGGAGGTGGAGAACACCCTTTCGGCTGGGATCTTCCTCCGCCATGCGCAGGTGACCCGCGAGACCGCCTTCGGGCCCATCTTCGGCTACCGCTTCGCCTCCTTCAACAGCTTGCTCTGGACCATCGCCCACAACCTCATCTCCGAGTGCAACTTCGACCAGGTCGACCCCCTGCCCTTCCTCCACATGCTGGCCACCCTGCGTACGCGCGCGCACACACACACACACACACACACACACACACACACACACACGCCTGTTCCTGCTCCTGCCCTTCGTCCCCGGCCGGCCGCTCACCCTCGCACAGACATCAGCACCCCCTTCAACCCCGCCGAAAGCCCCGAGGTCGATCCCTTCTACCGGCTCTTTGCCACCAAGCTTGTCTTCCGGCACATCCGCCGCGCGGCCGACATCGCCCGGCTGATCGCCCTCCCCAACGCCCTTCGTGCGTGCCTCGGGCATCCTCCCTTTGCGCATATCCCCCGCCCCTGCCCCCCCCCCCCGCCCCCGCCACACAGATCACCTCTCCCCGCAGCTCAACCCCGCCCACCCGTACTATGCCTTCGTCCTGTCGGCCATCTTTGGCAGCGACTCCGAGCGCCTGGTCTGGCACAGCACCGGCATCGCTCTGAGGGTCGGCGCCGCGGTCGACATGACCCCAAGCACGCTCGAGCACATCGACGTCGGCTGTGTCGAGGACGATGGCGACCCCCTGCCCCCGGCCGACTGGCCCGGCATCGTCGACCCCTCCCGCCGGCTGGCCCTCCCCCGGCCAGCCCGGCCCTTCCTGCTGGAATACCCCCCGGTGCTGGAGGGCCTCGCCGCGCAGGCCGACAACCGCACGCTGGCCAATCTCTTCTTCGCCTTCGAGACATTTGCCTGTGCGCACGAATGCCCCCCACCCCGGCCGCCGGCCTGCGCCCTCTCGCCCCTTTTTTTCCCTCCGGGTTCCCGATCCCCGAGCCTGACTCGCCCCCCCCCCCCTGCCCTGGTAGTCGGCTCCGACGCGCACTTCGTCAATTGCGCCGCGCACATCACCGCCACCTCCCTGGCACTGCACTTTGCCCGGGCCCTGGCCGCCCTGCCGCCGCCGCCGCCGCCGTCCCCCGCGGCCGGTGGCCCCCGGGGGCAGCCCGCCCCCGGCCACCTGCCCGCCCTCGACCCGCTCATTGCCTTCCGCGCGACCATCCTCTGTAAGTGGCTCCATCACCGGTTCACCTCGATCGACATTTGCCCCCTTACCCCGGAGGAGGACTGCTGCCCGATGGACGAGCCGGCCATCTTCACCCTCGCCGCGCACTTCACCCACTGGGCCGGGATCTTGCGCGACATCTTCGGCTTCGGTGCGCGCCGGCACACATCCACGGCTCCCCTCGCCCTCCTCCGCAGCATGCCCGGTCGTCCCGCATCGATGCTCACACGCCCCTTCGCATTGCCCGTCCCCTTTTCCGCGCCCGCACCTGCCCCCCCCCCCCCCCCAGCCGAGCTTGTCCCCGACTCGTGCAAGGCTCCCTTCGCGGACTTCTTCCTCCTCTTCTGCCACCTGACCGGCACCATGGACGCCCTTTTGCAGCACTGCTCTCGATCCGGCCGTGCGTCCTCGCCGCTGCCCCCGGGGCTGTGCTCGCTCGCTGCATGGCCGCCTGCTCACCCATGCCCCTGTCCCCCTCTCCCCCCTCCCCCCCCCTCCCCTCGCCTGCCTCGCGGCCTCGCCTCTCAGCCCTCCCCCCGGGCCTGGTCACGGCTCTCGGCTCCGACTTGGCTCCGGCCCTGCTGGGGATCTGGTCCTGGGTGCTCGCCGTGTCCGAGGCCCCCATCCCCACGGCGTCCCTCTATCGCCAGACCCTGGCTCACATCCTCGGCCTCCTGAAGTCCTTGCATATGAATGGTTCGTGCGCCTTGGCGCCGGGGCCCCCTGCGCCCCGATCCTCATGCCGCCGCTCGTCCCCGCCCCGCCCCCCTGGCCCCGCGCTCATCACCCCCCCCCTCCCCCCGCCGCCCGCCCACCCCCCAGGCCTCATTGATCCGTCGACTCGGGAGCAGCTGCGCACGCCGAACGTCCTGCTCGGTGGCCGTCTGTCCGTCGCCCCGGAGATCACCCAGCCGGCCGGTCGCTTCGCCGGCAGCGAGGTCCTCCTGCTGCCGCTGGCCGCCGGCGGCCCGGTGCACCTGCCGCGGAGACTCCTGCGGCGCTTCGTGCGCGATCTCGGCCGCGTGCTGGCCGAGCCGCCCGGCCCGGGGGCCTGGTTTGCCGAGGCCCGGCCCCTCCCGGCCCCGCCGGCCCCGCCGGCGTCGCTGCTGCGCGGGACCTGGCCGCGGGCCCCATGCTCGGCCGCCGGGGTGGGGGGGCTCGCCGGGCGGCCTAAGCCTCCGGCTCCCCCGGCCCCCCCGGCTCCGGCCCCCGGGGATGCCCTCTTCCCGGCGGCCCTGCCAGCGCGACTGGGCCCCGCCGGGCCGCTTGTCCGGTGTCGGGCCCCGCTGGCCGGGTATCTGCTGCAGGGCGGCCTGCACACCTGCCGGGCCGACACCTTCCCCCTGACGCCGGCCCCCGGGCAGCCGGTCATCTTCCTCGGCCAGGCCGGCTTCCACTCGGGCTACACGGCCCCGGCGGTCCGGCTGCCGCACCCCCGGCCGATGGACCATCCCACTGCGCGGGGCATTCTGGCCTATGGCGGGCCTCGGGGCGCGCCCCGGCAGCCGCCCCCCCGGTCGGCGGACCTGCAATTTTCCGTGCGCCTGCGCCTGCGCCGGGGCAGCGAGCTCACCATCGGCTGGCTCCTGGCCAGCGAGCAGGCCCCCCAAGTGGACCCGGCCCTGCTGCAGCTCCTGCACCCCACGTCCATCCCGTTGGATTGGACGCTGATGGCGGCGGCCAAGCCGCCCTCGGTGGCCGCTTTGCGGGTGTCGGTCACCGGGCCCGCGGATCCCGGCCTGCCGGCCCCGGCGCCGCCGCACCCGGCCGCCGACGCCAGCGACTCCGACTCCGACAGCGACTCCGACTCGGAGGGCGACCTCGGCGAGACCGGGGAAACCGACGCGGTCCGGTGGGGCGAGGGCCCCTTCGAGGCCCTTTTCGAGGCCCTGGTCGGCGACCCGGGCACCGACGATTCCCAATCCTCCGATGAGGAATTCGAGCAGCGCATGTACGAGCGCGTGGCGCGCGAACAGGGCTGGCATGTGCGCGGCCCCTCGGCCGACAGCCCGGCCGAGCCAGGCCACCCCGCCGAGGCGGCCTCGCCCGATCTCCCGGGGCCCGGCCCGTCGGACATCTGGCCCGTGGGCATGACCGCGGCCCAGGCGGCCGCCACCCGCGGCTCCCCGGCGCGCAGCCTGTCCTTCGAGCGGCCCGCCGGTCCCCACCAGGACGCGCCCCCGCCGGCGGCAGCCACCCAGCCCTCGGCCGGTCGCCGGCCGGCGGACAAGACCGCCGCCGACCCGGCCGCCGGGTTCATCCTCGTCGGGAGGACATTCATTGCCGACCCGCATTTGGCCGATCGCCCGCAGGAGGCATACTCCGATGCCGGCGAGCTGGTCGGCCGTGTGGGCGGGTCCTCGGGCCTGCGCATGTTCCCCATCCAGCACCAGGCCCACATGGAGGTGGAGGTGCGCGCGCGCGTCGACCTCCGCACCCGATCCCTGTCCTTCACCGTGAACGACCACCACATCGGCGTCGTGTATCGCCTGCATGATGCCGTCGATGAGGTACGCGCCCTGCACCGCGCCGCGCCGCCGGCGCGGTCTCTCGGCCCTCTCCCGCTCACCCGGTGTTCATGTGTGGCTCCCTTTTCGCCTCCCTAACCCCCCATCCGTCTGCGCCCCCGGCCGCACAGGTTTTCTTCGTCCCGATGATCGTGGCACACAATGTCGAGGATGTGCGCGCGTTCGCCGGCTAGCATGGGCACATCGCCCTCTCCCCCTGCCCCCCCCGGGGCGGGGGAAGGGCCAAAGAGCGCTGGTCGCCCTTCTGCTCCCTCTGCTACCACTCGCCCCTGCCTGGACCGGGCTTTGGCTGGTCTGCTCGGCGACCGCATGGGCATGCCCCGCCCCCGGGGCAGCCGTGCCTCCTTTCCACGCACACACATGCATGTGTCCATCGACCTGTACATATACCTTTGTCTCCCTGCCACCACCAAGTGTGTGTGTGTGTGTGTGTGTGTATGTGTGTGTGTGTGTGTGTATGTGTGTGCATGTGCCTGTGTGCATGTGTGCATGTGCCTGTGTGCATGTGTGCATGTGTGCATGTGCCTGTGTGCCTGTGTGCATGTGTGCATGTGCCTTTGTGCCTGCGCGCCCACGTGCCTGTGTGCCTGTGTGCGTGTGTCTGCCCACTCTGCACAGCGCCTCATGCATGATGGCGCATGCTTCGCCGTTGCTTTCCGTCCTCCCTTCTCTTCGCTTTTCCCCCTCCCCTCCACCGCCCTGCCCCGACGTGCGGCAAGACCAAACTCGGCGGCAATCCCAGCCCGGGGCAGGTATTTCAGGCATTTCCCGGTGTCTCTTGTCACAAGCCTGTTTAGCTCAGTTGGTAGAGCATGGGACTCTTAATCCCAGGGTCGTGGGTTCGAGCCCCACAGTGGGCTTGCCTTCTTTTTTTGGCCACCCAGCCCCCGGCCGCGGGCAGCTGTTCCCACATAAGGCCAATGTGGCCGGGTGTCCCTCAGTCCGAATGATGTAGATGGTTATCATATCTGTCTAACACACAGAATGTCCCAGGTTCGAGTCCTGGTTCGGACAGACCTTTCTTTTTCCCGCGCCCCGGCACCACCCGCCGCGGTGCCCCATGACAGCATTCATATGATCAGCTCGGCTTTCGCCTATCCTATACCGCTCGTTTAGCTCAGTGGTAGAGCGCCAGTCTAGTAAACTGGAGGTCGGGTGTTCGATCCACCCAATGAGCACGTTTCTTTTGTTTTCCGCGCCCGCCCGATCGGCGCCCCCGGCTCCCTGACGCGCGAGACGGGACCCCGGAATAAAGCGAGTCCCCTGGCGCGCGGGTGTGGGGGGGGCGCAAGAGGGCGGCGCAGAGGGACACCGCGCCGCAGGCCGGGGGGAGGGCCGGGGGGCCGGGGAGGGACGCCAAAAACGCCCGGCGCGCACGGGCGCCATTCCATCCCCCCGCCCCCCGGGGGCGAGTGCCGGCCGATGAATATGAAAAATAAAAAGCCGCCCCCAGCCTGCCAGTCTTCCTGCATGACAGATCGCGCACTGCCCCCCCCCCCCCCCCCCCCACTCTCCCGCACTATCACACACGCAGCCCGCGCCAACCATGCTTGCAGCCTCTCGCGCGCTCTGCCGGGCCCCGGTCCCGGCCCGCTCGCTCACCTCCGCGGCCAGCCCCCTGCCGCCGGAGCTCGCTGACTCGCTGACTCTCCGGCGATTGCTGCCCGGGACGGCGGTCCTGCGCGCTGCGCTGGCGGTGGATGTGGCCCTCGGCGCGCCGGAAACCCCGGACCAGGCGGACGTCCGGGCCGCCGGCGACCGGCGCCGGGTGTATGCCCTGACCCCGGCCCCGGGCGCGTCGGCCGCCGTGCGGGACTTCCTCGCGCAGGCCCCCTACGCTCCGGCCCCGCCGGCCTTCATCCAGGCGGCCCTCGCCCCGGCCGCCGGCGCCATGCCGAACAATGTCCACTTCCTGACGGACGTCCCCCTGGCCCCGGGCGCCGTGGCCACCGCCCTCCAACACCCGACCCAGGTGGATCCATCGTGCGACACGGCGGTCTTCTACTCGCTCAACGCCCCGCAGGGCGGCCTGGCCCTCGGGGCGCGCGTCCTGGACGAGGCCCTCGGCGCCCTGACCGCCGAGAGCGCCGGGCGCATTCGCTTCTGGGGGACCCTCTCCCCGATCCCGGGCTTCGGCCGGTGGCTTTCCAGTCCGGAGTCTCCGCTGCCCGGCGGTGCGTGTCGAAGCTTCTGCTCCCTCTGCCCCTCCTTGTGCCCCTCTTTCTGCCCCTTTCCCCGGGCCGGGGCGGGGACCCGCCCCTCGGCGCACCCCATCTACTGACTGCCGCCCGTGCTGCAGGCCTGCCGCCGGCCCTGGCCGATCGGCTGGTCCGGCACTCGCCGCGCATCGCCGCCCTCACAGCCGAGGGGACCCCCTCGATGTTGCACGCCCTGGCGCGCTTCCTCCAGGAGCGCAGTGCCGCCGCCCCCGCCGCCCTCTTTGTCGACCCCGAGGAGGAGCAGGCCATCGGCGCGGCGCTCATGGTTCGTCACCCGCTCGGCTGCCCATTGCCCGGCACCATCCCCCCGTCCCTGACCCCAGCGCCATCCCGGCCCATCACAACAGTTCCTCATGTCGCACTATGTAACCAGCAGGCGTGCCCGCGGCGGCGGCGGCGGCGGCGGCGGCGGCCCGGTGGACTCGGTGGCCCGCTTCCACCTGGGCAACGGAGCCCGCCTGGGGGCCATCCACTGGCGTGCCCAGACCACCCCCATGGGCATCGCCGGCTTCGGCACCATCATGGCCAACTACATGTGCGCTGTCCCGCCGGCCGCCCCACGGCCCGGCCCTGCCGGGCCCCCTCGCACGCGACTCACCCTCCTCCATGCATGCCATCCACCATGCCGGCCTCCGCTCGGCCGCCCAGCTACGACCTTGACAAGGTGGAACACCGCCGGGAGCACTTCCGCGCGGGCGGCCAGCGCCCCGACGGCCCGGAACTCCTGGTCGCCGAGGACATCCTCCTTTGGCGCGACCCGGCCGCCTGGGACCGGCCCCTGGTCGCCGACACCCTGGCCAAGCAGCGCGCCTCGCCCTGGTGCCCGGGGTCCTGACACCACCGCGCGCCGACGCCGCCCCCCCCCCCCCCCCCCCCCCCCCCCCCCTGCCGCGATGGCACCCCCCGCGCGCCGTGGCCCCTTCCTCGGCTCGAGAGGCCCACATGCGCACAGCCACACGACAACAATACAAAAAAAGAAAGGAACGAAAGCCACCTATTCACTGTGCTCGCGCAGCCCCTTCGTCGGTCGCCTCCGCCAGGCGGCCCAGCAGGGCGTCGTAAGTGCGCGGGTCGAAGTACGGCGCCTGGTCGATGGCCTCCGCCGGCTGGGCCCAGTCCAGGAACGCCAGCAACAGGTGATCCAGCAGGACAATCGCCACGGCCATCAGCCCGGCGATCGCTCCACAGCTGGCATGCCGCCGGGCCCGCGTCAGCAATGACAGATGCGGCCGGTCCAACACCCGGAAGTACACCTGCTCCACGCGATGCGCCACATCGCGCCAGCTGTACATCGCCCGCACGGCCCGGTGTAGCTCCCACGCCGGGGGGAAACGCGGGAGCTCGCGGATCCCATTCGACAGGGCCGCGATCAGGTCTGCCAGCAAGACAACCACCCAGTCCCGGGGTCGCGGTCAGTGTGTGTGTGTGTGTGTATATGCCTGCATGTGAGCGTGTGCACGCGTGTGCGCGTGTGCACGCGTGTGTGTGGCCACCCCCTCCGGCAGGCATAATAGTCCCAACGAGGGGAAGCATAAGGGAGGAGGCAGAAAGAAAGACATAGACAAACGCACCCTCCACCTCGGGATTCGCAAATTGGATCATGCCCCGGGGGAGGACCTCGGGCACGCCGCCCACGCGCGTGCTCACCACCGACAGGCTGAGCACAATGACCCGATCCATGTGGCACACCAGAGTTAATACCACCCCTCGATGAGTGGAAGCCGACACACCGACACGCGGAAGGCGGCAGGTAGGGAGGAAGAGGGGAGAGGGAAAAAGTACCCGCAGGAGGCCGCCTCCACAATGGCAATGCAAAAGGCCTCGGTCAGGCTGGTGTTCAGGAAGATGTCCCCCCGAATGAGGACATCGCGCACGTCGCGATGCGCCACCGCCCCGATCAGCTCCACGCGCTGGTGCAGACGATACTGCTCGCGCATCTGCTCCAGCGGCACGCGCTTTGGGCCATCGCCGCCTGCAGCAACCGCAGCAGGGAGAGGGGCAAGCACACAGTCAGTCCCAGCTGGCTCCGGATAGATCCCGGCGAGCGGGCGGGCCATCCGTCCTGCCCTCCCCCTCGCCTGGGGGGGCGGGGAGGAGCGGGGAAGAGGTGGAAAACGCACCAATCAGGAAGTCCACCTCCGGGAAGGCCGCGCAAATGCGCGGGATCACCGTCAACAGCGGGTCCACACCCTTGCGATACACCAGCCGGCTGAGGACCACCACGGTGATGCGCCGGTCGGTGGCGGCGCCCGGCCTGGTCGGACGCTCCGAAGGCCGGCCTTCCGGATGTGGCTTGAAGTCGATCGAGGTGATGGCATTCGGAATGACGCTGATGGACCCCGGGTCCAGGGCCGCACGCAGGACCGTATTTTCGCGACTCGTATGCGACACACACACCGAGTGGTCCACATCCGACAGGGTCCACTTGAGGACCTTGTTGGTCAGGATCGAGGACAGATCCGCAAAGCCGAAGAGCGAGTGGTCCGTGAAGCACGTGCGTATGCCCATCGTCCGCGCGTGCAACATCGACTCCTGGCACAGCGACGAAAAGGCCTGCACATCCGAGCCAAACGGCCGGCGAGGGAGGCGGGAGGCGGGAGGCGGTGCCGGGGATCAGTACCGCGGCCGGGCCACAAGCGGGCCGGGATGCTGGATGTGCGCACGCGCGCCCGCGCACCTGGTGGCCGTGTACCACATCGATTTGCTCGCGGATGGCGATGTCCCGGAAGATGGAGAAGAAGCCGAAAATCGACGGCAGCGACGCGGCGCTCGTCATGACAATGACCGGAATGTAATACACCTTCATGCCGCTGGACATGTATCGGACGCCCACCCGGTCGCCGTAGGCATGCGTGATGAGGACCACCTTTCAAAGGGCGCGAGGGCAAGAGCGAGGGGGGCCGAGAGCAGACAAGGCCATGCAGGCTGGTGAGTGAGCGCACGCAGCAGGGGGCGAGACATGTTTGCTTGGGCACGGAACCCCGGGCGCCCGGGCCGGTGAGGCGGCCAGACAGCAGGCCGCCGAGGTGACCCGACGCGCACCTTGTGGCCGCGCTCGATCAGACACTGCGCCAGCTGGTACTGATGCGACTCGACACCGCCGAAGTTTGGGAAGTAGAAGTCCGACACGAAGCTGCGCTCGCGTGCACACACAAGAACATGGCGAACCCACCAGCAAGGGAGGGAAAGGCGCATCAGCACAGGGAAATGGCACCCGCAAAAAAAAAAAAAAAAAAAAAAAAAAGAAGAAAGACAACACACACCAAATGGATAGCCGCCGCTCCGGCAGCAGATACATGCTTGACAGGGCTTCGGGGGCCCGCCGGCCGGCGCCTGGCGCCGGACCGCCGCCCGTCCGGGACAGGTACAGGGTCGAAGGCTCGGACGCGCGCCGATGATTCAGGCGGAACTCCGGCACAGGCGGCGACTCGGCCCCCGACGACAGGGGGCCGAGATCCGGCGTCCCGCGTTCCGACATCGAGCGCGCCCCTGCGGTCGCCGGGCTCGTCGGCCGGGAAAGGGCATCCCCAGTGCCGAGGCCGTCGCGCAGTGGCGACTCCCCCGGGCGCTCGGTGTCCAGGAAGTCGATCAGCTCCTCATCCGACAGGAGGCTCAGCGGGTGGACCGGCGCCGAGGGGGCACCGGAGCCCGGCGGC